ATCTCTTCTCTCCTTCCAGCAGAGTAATCTCTTCTCCCCTTCCAGCAGAGTAATGTCTTCTCTCCTTCCAGCAGAGTAATCTCTTCTCTCCTTCCAGCAGAGTAATCTCTTCTCCCCTTCTAGCAGAGTAATCTCTTCTCTCCTTCCAGCAGAGTAATCTCTTCTCCCCTTCTAGCATAGTAATCTCTTCTCTCCTTCCAGCAGAGTAATGTCTTCTCTCCTTCCAGCAGAGTAATCTCTTCTCTCCTTCCAGCAGAGTAATCTCTTCTCCCCTTCTAGCAGAGTAATCTCTTCTCTCCTTCCAGCAGAGTAATGTCTTCTCTCCTTCCAGCAGAGTAATCTCTTCTCTCCTTCCAGCAGAGTAATCTCTTCTCCTCTTCTAGCAGAGTAATCTCTTCTCTCCTTCCAGCAGAGTAATGTCTTCTCTCCTTCCAGCAGAGTAATCTCTTCTCTCCTTCCAGCAGAGTAATCTCTTCTCTCCTTCCAGCAGAGTAATCTCTTCTCCCCTTCTAGCAGAGTAATCTCTTCTCCCCTTCCAGCAGAGTAATCTCTTCTCTCCTTCCAGCAGAGTAATCTCTTCTCTCCTTCCAGCAGAGTAATCTCTTCTCCCCTTCCAGCAGAGTAATCTCTTCTCTCCTTCCAGCAGAGTAATGTCTTCTCTCCTTCCAGCAGAGTAATCTCTTCTTTCCTTCCAGCAGAGTAATCTCTTCTCCCCTTCTAGCAGAGTAATCTCTTCTCTCCTTCCAGCAGAGTAATCTCTTCTCTCCTTCCAGCAGAGTAATCTCTTCTCTCCTTCCAGCAGAGTAGTCTCTTCTCCCCTTCTAGCAGAGTAATCTCTTCTCTCCTTCCAGCAGAGTAATCTCTTCTCCCCTTCAAGCAGAGTAATCTCTTCTCTCCTTCCAGCAGAGTAATCTCTTCTCCCCTTCTAGCAGAGTAATCTCTTCTCTCCTTCTAGCAGAGTAATCTCTTCTCCCCTTCTAGCAGAGTAATCTCTTCTCTCCTTCCAGCAGAGTAATGTCTTCTCTCCTTCCAGCAGAGTAATCTCTTCTCTCCTTCCAGCAGAGTAATCTCTTCTCTCCTTCCAGCAGAGTAATCTCTTCTCTCCTTCCAGCAGAGTAATCTCTTCTCCCCTTCTAGCAGAGTAATCTCTTCTCCCCTTCCAGCAGAGTAATCTCTTCTCTCCTTCCAGCAGAGTAATCTCTTCTCTCCTTCCAGCAGAGTAATCTCTTCTCTCCTTCCAGCAGAGTAATCTCTTCTCCCCTTCTAGCAGAGTAATCTCTTCCCTCCTTCCAGCAGAGTAAAATCTTCTCCTTGGCCCTCACCAGTAAAAGTCAATAATTTGCCATATCTCTTCTCTACTCTCTGTAAATCCTTGTTTTGTTTTTTACGTAATCCTGAACCCTAGTCAGTAACCCTTACAAATACTCCCTATCATCTGCCCTGTCACCTCTCCATCATTCTCGTTATCCACTCTTCATACTCCTTTTTTCATCCTTATCCACTAATTAATGGATTTCTATATTATTACTGCCCATATTTTAACGTTAGTTCTCCCAATATGTACTCTCCTCTTATGGTAGTCTTCCTCAGTATTTACTTCCTTATACGCTTCCTTCCCTCCTAATATATCCAGTCTAGCATCTTGTTGCATTACCATTTCCCTCTATCAATTAACCTGTACCACCTCACAGTATGAAATATTTTCCTCATTCTACTCTATCAAACTAAGTAATTCTTTTCCATGCACTCTACCACCATCAAGACTCCCACATAAACTATCCCTCTATCCCAACAAGTAATCCATCAACAAACTCTTCATGGTTACCTGTTAAATCTTTTCTATACTGTTGCTCATTGCCACACTATGGAAAGTTGCATCTCTCGAGATGCAGCATCTCCCATGTATCCCTCCTCCCATTAAGTAAAGTCTTCCTCTTCCCTATGAGTATCCTATCTTCAAAGCATTCATTTCTTTCATGGAGCCCTTTTCCACAGCACTCCTCTACCCATGAAGCTCGACCCCTCCCCCATACCTCTCCAACCCATCAAATAATCTCTCTCCACTTCAAGTTGTCTAGAGGCACAAATTCAGTATTCCCTTATCAGTCCTCTTATCTATTCCTTGATCAGATCAACGTACTCAGCATCTTTATTTCACATTACCTTTTCCCAGCCTTCCTGCCCCACTCTGCTGCTCTTCCTTACCTCGTCCCACCTCAAAGACAGGGAAACACCTAACTCTCGTAACCATTGTTTCTGATAGGTTACACATGCATCAGAGGAAACACAAGGTTTCAAGGCAACATGGCGTTAATACTACAGCACTGCTAAGAATGAATGAGTTTTAGAGACTAGGAATGAGGTGGATACCCTAGAGATCAAACTTGGCTCCAAAATGCCTGTAAAGAATCACTTGGTAAATCTTTCAAGCAAGGCAGACGAGAAAGTTGCAGCACTAAAGTGTATCACTTATCTGCTTGACAGTAGAAGCTGCAGAACTATAAGAGGTAAACGTTTGCTCATATCTTGAGTATACTCCACTTTCATGGATGGCCTGCCCCATCTCATCTGCGATTTATAGACAGACTAGATAACCATGCAAGATGACTAATCTCTATCCTGAAACCTTCCTGGATGAATCTGTTTTTCATCAGTCGAACCTTCAACACCGTAGAGATGAGGACAAAATTATCGAGATACCATACTTGGCTCCACTTCGCGGACAGCAAGAAGACATCTTCCATACTACAAGACGGGCAGCAAAGAGGAACTACACGCTGGCTGTACACTTCTCAAGAACATTACTTCATGTGATATCATTCATTCTAAGAATGAATCTAAAGTGGAACATGTTCGTAGAGTATAATAACATTGATGAAGAAAAGTCAATTGATCAAATGAAATCGCTGACCTACATCTGGCTCCAACATCACCCTGTTTCCTATTTGTATGTTTCATAACAATAAAAAAAATTATAGAAGGTAATGCTGGGGAAGGTTTTCAAATGAGCTGAGGAAGATGACAACTCTTAGTTTGTAAATAAAGACAGGAACTCTTTAACGTAACCCTGTAAAACCCAATGTGTAGGGGAGAGAGAGAGAGAGAGAGAGAGAGAGAGAGAGAGAGAGAGAGAGAGAGAGAGAGAGAGAGAGAGAGAGAGAGAGAGGGAGGGAGGGAGGGAGAGAGGGAGGTACCTCGTCGATAATGGCAGCTCAGACTCTGCTGGAAGAAACCTTAGAAGCTTCCATACCTGGTGAACATACATAGAAATACTTAACACAATCATTATCGTCCAACTCAATCATCCCAGCTCAAGGTGACAGATTTCAATAGATTGCGTCTGCAACCCTCCTGTGTTACTGCATACGACAGGTAAGCTTAACTGTCATATTCTACAAAGGACAATTCACATAGACTAAAGCGTCAGCATACTTCTGATTCACACAGTTTTCCTAAACGACCCCTTCCCCCTCCTCCATTTCACCCCTTCATACATCTCAGTCCTTCCTTCAGACCATAGAAAATCAGGCAGCCGCACATGGAGGGTGTGCTAAGCTTGCTCAATAAAAAATAACACCCTAGCATATCCCTTTTTCCCCTGCCTAACCAACCAACCAGTTCCCTATACCGTCTCTTCTCCTCGACCGTCAAGGCCACCCATGGTCCCCTGTCCCTAACGGTGTTTACCTGCGGTCGTCTTGGTTATCGTCCCGGCGTCTTCAGTAATATGAATTATCATGTTATCTTCGCTGCTGTGACAGCAGCCACTGAACACGTCAGAACGAACGCTAGAGCGTTCAGTCCCTCTCACTGCTACCTGTTAACACATGACTCTTTATTTTCTCCAATATACCTCTATTGTGAAAGACTTTACATGTTTATATATTCATAATACAAATAATTCGCACACTGGAGAATGACTGGTTAATGATTCAAGTCAGGGTGAAACCCCATTGGTTTCACTCTCTGAGCTGGTTATATGTGTGTATTGTTCCAGTCAAGGTATTGTGAACTTATTATTTGTGTACTCATGTATTTCAAAGCAATAACATCTTACGCAAGAAACGCACACTGTGATGTTTCTGTTGATAATATCTTTAAATAAAGTGAATAAGAACAGTGAGTGATTATAGAGGATAATGAGGTGCTGAACAGTGAGTGATGATGGATAGTGAGGAGGTGTTGAACAGTGAGTGATGATAGAGGATAGTGAGGAGGTGTTGAACAGTGAGTGATGATAGAGGATAGTGAGGAGGTGTTGAACAGTGAGTAATGATAGAGGATAGTGAGGAGGTGTTGAACAGTGAGTAATGATAGAGGATAGTGAGGAGGTGTTGAACAGTGAGTAATGATAGAGGATAGTGAGGAGGTGTTGAACAGTGAGTAATGATAGAGGATAGTGAGGAGGTGTTGAACAGTGAGTAATGATAGAGGATAGCGAGGAGGTGTTGAACAGTGAGTAATGATAGAGGATAGTGAGGAGGTGTTGAACAGTGAGTAATGATAGAGGATAGTGATGAGGTGTTGAACAGTGAGTAATGATAGAGGATAGTGAGGAGGTGTTGAACAGTGAGTAATGATAGAGGATAGTGAGGAGGTGTTGAACAGTGAGTAATGATAGAGGATAGTGAGGAGGTGTTGAACAGTGAGTAATGATAGAGGATAGTGAGGAGGTAGTGTGGCCCTAAGATCCGGTTATCCTTGGAACGACGCAGCTAAAATAAGGAATAATAATATATAAGATTTCTCTCATATTCCTTCGCTTCTGTGATTATATATACCTAATCCTGTTTTAAAATAATCGGTATTGCTTAAAACAAAGTTTATGTACTTTTTTAAATTATGTAATTTAAATATTAATTAACATATAATTGAGGTTTCAATCTGTTGCTAGACGTACTATCCTGTGATAGTTTCTCCCCGGGACGGCGGTAGTGTGATGCTGGTAGCTAGTACCAGATTCTTGAATAGTGGAGGCTGGGGGCAGGCTGCCTCACACACTGCCCGCTTCACACAGTGTCCGCCTGGACTGCGTAGCTGGTGGTAGTCTGTGTGACCCTGGCTGGTAGCACTCTCTGTGTACCTCCAGCTGGTGGCACTGTTTACGTGTGTGAGATTACGTTTGTTGTGAGGATACATATGCGTGTGACTCTCTGTTACCTTATATTATATTCTTGTAGTCACAATTGGACGAAAAATATTAAACGAGTGACTTAGAGTAATAAAAGACTTTGTGATTTTTAAATGTAGTGGATTACACACGTAGATTTATATTTAGAAAGTTCATGAACGCTGTTATTTGTTTAATGTCTACATAACTTACAGAATTAAGACACATGAATATGAGAAATATTTTCTTAATGAACTAAATGATGTTAAAAAATACTGTTGTGATCTTAGAATAGTTGAAAGAAATAAAGTTTATTTTTAAAGATGAGAAAGATTTTGATGAAGGTTTTAGAGTGGTAGTAGCGAGAGTTTACGAACTGCCCAGAGGAAGATAAGTGAGAGAGGAAGATCAAGGTCTTAACAATGTGGAGTTGTGTGTTGGTGGTAGCCACAGCGGCGCTCACACTACCACAACATGCAACATCTGCGCTCACACTACCACAACATGCAACATCTGCGCTCACACTACCACAACATGCAACATCAACGCTAAGACTCAACAAGCGTGCAACAACTGCGCTCAACGGACTAGAAGACAGTCAGTACTACTGTGTTTATTTGTCTTCACAGATCGAGAAGCCAGACTCTTCAAGGTCCTGGCTGCTGTAGACATTATATATATATATATATATATATATATATATATATAATATATATATATATATATTATATATATATATATATATATATATATATATATATATATATATATATATATATATATATATATATATATATATATATATGTTGTATATTTTCCATCCCTTGAAGATGGTCACAGAAGGGGATCGAAACACACAGATCAATTAATCTTATGAGTATCTGTGTTTATGTGGGTTATTACTGAGCACTGACAAGTGTTCCTTAAATATTAGTAATCCATATATAGTGTATGTTTGTAGTAGTCTGCGCCTATGTGTCAGTCTGGTCATGTGACTTGTGTCCTGGATACATATCCTGTGGAATATCATGTATATATATATATATATTAATTATATATTTTATGATGAGAAAATATCAGTTATGGGAGTGAGAAAAATGTGAGAAAGGAGAGAATAACGTTAAGCAGTGATAATGATGGAGGATAGTGAGTCAAGATGGATGATAGTGAGTCATGATGAGGATAGTGAGCCATGATGGAGGATAGTGAGCCTGATGGAGAATAGGGAGTCATGTTGGAGAATAGGGAGTCATGATGGATGATAGTGAGTAATGATGGAGGATAGTGAGGAAGTAGTGTTGAGCAGTGAGTGATGATGGAGAATAGTGAGGAGGTGTTGAACAGTAAGTGATGATGGAGGATAGTGAGTGATGATGGTGGAGAGTGAATGATGATGGAGGATAGTGAGTGATGGTGGAAGATAGTGTGTGATGATGGAGGATAGTGAGTGATGATGGAGGATAGTGAGTGATGATGGAGGATAGTGAGTGATGATGGAGGATAGTGAGTGATGATGGAGGATACTGAGTGATGGAGGATAGTGAGTGATGGAAGATAGTGAGTTATGATGGAGGATAGTGAGTGATGATGGAGGATAATGAGTGATGATGGAGGATAGTGAGTGATGATGGAAGATAATGAGTGATAATGGAGGTTAGTGAGTGATGGAGGATAGTGAGTTATGATGGAGGATAGTGAGTGATGATAGAGGATAGTGAGTGATGATGGAGGATAGTGAGTGATGATGGAGGATAGTGAGTGATGATGGAAGATAGTGAGTGATGATGGAAGATAGTGAGTGATTATAGAGGATAGTGAGTGATGATGTAGGATAGTGAGTGATGATGGAGGATAGTAAATGATGATAGAGGATAGTGAGTGAAGATAAAAGTTAGTGAGTGATAATAGAGGAAAGTGAGTGATGATGGAAGATAGTGAGTGATGATGGAAGATAGTGAGTGATGATGGAGGATAGTGAGTGATGATGGAGCTTAGTGAGAGATGATGGAGGATAGTGAGTGATGATGGAAGATAATGAGTGATGATGGAGGATAGTGAGTGATGGAGGATAGTGAGTGATGGAAGGCAGTGAGTTATAATGGAGGATAGTGAGTGATGATGGAGGATAGTGAGTGATGATGGAGGATAGTGAGTGATGATGGAAGATAATGAGTGATGATGGATAGTGAGTGATGGAGGATAGTGAGTGATGATGGAGGATAGTGAGTGATGATGGAGGATAGTGATTGATGATGGAAGATAATGAGTGATGATGGATAGTGAGTGATGATGGAGGATAGTGAGTGATGATGGATGATAGTGAGTGATGATGGATAGTGAATGATGGAGGATAGTGAGTGATGATGGAGGATAGTGAGTTATGATGGAGGATAGTGAGTGATGATGGAGGATAGTGAGTTATGATGGAGGATAGTGATTTATGATGGAGGATAGTGAGTTATGATGGAGGATAGTGAGTTATGATGGAGGATAGTGATTTATGATGGAGGATAGTGATTTATGATGGAGGATAGTGAGTTATGATGGAGGATAGTGAGTTATGATGGAGGATAGTGAGTTATGATGGAGGATAGTGATTTATGATGGAGGATAGTGAGTTATGATGGAGGATAGTGAGTTATGATGGAGGATAGTGAGTTATGATGGAGGATAGTGAGTTATGATGGAGGATAGTGAGTTATGATGGAGGATAGTGAGGAGGTAGTGATGAAGGTTGATATAAAATAAGTACTCAAAAACATTTCTATCTCTTATTTTCTCTCAGCTTCCATTATTACAAATTTACCTCTAATTATATAATGTTTCTCTTACGATATATATATATATATATATATATATATATATATATATATATATATATATATATATATATATAATTTTAGAAGTTTTGCATATAATTTACATGTTTTTTTATGTAGATAAATATTTATTCTGTTGCTTGACGTAAGAGTTTGTTGACTGACTCGATAATTTCTTCCTGAGATGGTAGTGACATGCTGGTTGATGGTAGTGACATGCTGGTTGATGGTAGTGACATGCTGGTTGATGGTAGTGACATGCTGGTTGATGGTAGTGACATGCTGGTTGATGGTAGTGACATGCTGGTTGGTGGTAGTGACATGCTGGTTGATGGTAGTAACATTCTGGTTGATGGTAGTAACATGCTGGTTGATGGTAGTGACATGCTGGTTGGTGGTAGTGACATGCTGGTTGATGGTAGTGACATGCTGGTTGATGGTAGTAGTAACATGCTGGTTGATGGTAGTGACATGCTGGTTGATGGTAGTGACATGCTGGTTGATGGTAGTAACATGCTGGTTGGTGGTAGTGACATGCTGGTTGATGGTAGTGACATGCTGGTTGATGGTAGTAACATGCTGGTTGATGGTAGTGACATGCTGGTTGATGGTAGTGACATGCTGGTTGATGGTAGTAACATGCTGGTTGATGGTAGTGACATGCTGGTTGATGGTAGTAACATGCTGGTTGATGGTAGTGACATGCTGGTTGATGGTAGTGACATGCTGGTTGATGGTAGTGACATGCTGGTTGATGGTAGTGACATGCTGGTTGATGGTAGTGACATGCTGGTTGATGGTAGTGACATGCTGGTTGGTGGTAGTGACATGCTGGTTGGTGGTAGTGACATGCTGGTTGATGGTAGTAACATTCTGGTTGATGGTAGTGACATGCTGGTTGATGGTAGTGACATGCTGGTTGATGGTAGTGACATGCTGGTTGATGGTAGTGACATGCTGGTTGATGGTAGTAACATGCTGGTTGATGGTAGTGACATGCTGGTTGATGGTAGTGACATGCTGGTTGGTGGTAGTGACATGCTGGTTGGTGGTAGTGACATGCTGGTTGATGGTAGTAACATGCTGGTTGATGGTAGTGACATGCTGGTTGATGGTAGTAACATGCTGGTTGGTGGTAGTAACATGCTGGTTGATGGTAGTGACATGCTGGTTGATGGTAGTGACATGCTGGTTGGTGGTTGTGACATGCTGGTTGATGGTAGTGACATGCTGGTTGATGGTAGTAACATGCTGGTTGATGGTAGTGACATGCTGGTTGATGGTAGTGACATGCTGGTTGGTGGTAGTGACATGCTGGTTGGTGGTAGTGACATGCTGGTTGATGGTAGTAACATGCTGGTTGATGGTAGTGACATGCTGGTTGATGGTAGTGACATGCTGGTTGATGGTAATGACATGCTGGTTGGTGGTAGTGACATGCTGGTTGATGGTAGTAACATGCTGGTTGATGGTAGTGACATGCTGGTTGATGGTAGTGACATGCTGGTTGATGGTAATGACATGCTGGTTGGTGGTAGTGACATGCTGGTTGGTGGTAGTGACATGCTGGTTGATGGTAGTAACATGCTGGTTGATGGTAGTGACATGCTGGTTGATGGTAGTGACATGCTGGTTGATGGTAATGACATGCTGGTTGGTGGTAGTGACATGCTGGTTGATGGTAGTGACATGCTGTGATGAATGGTTTGAAAAACCGACAAGTTGAAGATTGAGACACTTATGCAGCATATGGGAATCTTTATTTAGGAAACGTTTCGCCACACAGTGGTTTCATCAGTCCAATACAAAGAGGAAGGCGTAAGGAGAGGAGGAGAATGAGGTAATCAGTCCCTCAACCTGGAGTCGATGTGTTCAGTCCATCAATCTTGTAGAATGTACAGCATAGGGCCGTAGACGTGGCTTATATACTGTAGTGAGGTGAGGTGAAGCAGGCGGAGGCGGGGTCATAGTGGTACCATCCACTAGTCGAAGTAGGTCTTCGTCCAAAAGTTGAACAAGTGTTGAAGAATTCTTTGTAACAAGATCCCATGATGCTGCAGTGTCTGACAGTTGTGATGAATGGTTTGAAAAACCGACAAGTTGAAGATTGAGACACTTAGGCAGCATATGGGAATCTTTATAAAGATTCCCATATGCTGCCTAAGTGTCTCAATCTTCAACTTGTCGGTTTTTCAAACCATTCATCACAGCTCGCTACTAGCCTGTTCGGTGGGAAGATTTTGCAGTCAGCTTTGCTATTGCGTATCCACCTTGTAAGCGTATTCTGCAATCGTACTGTGCATAGCTAAGCGTGTTCTGCAAATAACGTGTTACGTTGGGGTATTCTGCAATCGTACTGTGCATAGCAAATAACTTATACATTGGGGTATGCCATCTAGACTAATCAGACGTCTGGTGTCGGCATATACTTTGTTTAACCTACCTAAATTGTCCCTACAGCGTTGTTGGCAAATTGCTCGTTCCATTGGCATTGATTACGAACGCACTCTCACAGCTGCGCAACTGCGTTCACTGATCACTGAAAAACTTCGAGAAGAAGAGATGGCACACCAGACTCCTCCCTCTACGGGAGCTAGGGAAAAAACTCCTATGTTCTCGCAGGAGGAAGATGATATATCAACGGAGCAAAATCGTCAGTCTAGTGCAGCAGGGTTGTCTCAAGGTGAATCAGCGGCGTTGGCACTTGAGCTGGCAAAAATCAATCTTGAGCAGACTAGGGAACAGAGAGCATTTGCAAAAGAAGAATTTGATAGGGAA